ACAACTGGAAACAAAAATTACTCTATGTTGATGCTCTATTTGACTGTGGAGACATTGAACAGAAACTCTGGACAATGGCTCTGATTTCAGATCTGCTGAAAACAAAATGGTACTTCTTTCTTGACAGGACAAAAGGAAATGGGACCTTGGAAACTCAGGGGTACGACTGCACAGAAATGAAGCTTTCTATAATACTAGAGGCCTGGTATATAAAATTGGTGCAGGAGGGGGTCCCTCAGCCCAGCCTGCAACCTTTCCAATCTGGCACCCCTCAAGGGATCAGGCCTAAATGAGTAGTTGGACATCCCTCTCAAAATTCATGACTGCTGGCTTCCAACTGCTTGCCTGCCTGCCTTCCTGATTGCCTCCAATCACTTTCTCTGCCAGCCTTATCACCCCCTAACCACTCCCCTGCCAGCCTGATTGATGCCTAATTACTCTCCTTCCAGCCTAATTGCCCCTAAGTATACTCCCCTGAAGGCCTGGTCACTCTAACTGTTTTCACCTTTCACCTGCAGACCTGGTTACCCCACCCAACTGTTCTCCCCGACAGGCCTGGATCCCTGTGCAACAGCCTTTCCCTGCAGGCTCAGTTACTCTCAACTTTCTTCCTCTGCCAGCCTGGTCACTCCTAACTGCCGTCCCTTGCTGGCCTGATTGCCCACAACTGCCCTTCTTTCCAGACATGGTCCCTCCACTGCTGGCCATCTTGTGGTGGTCATTTTGTGTCTATATGAGGGCAGACATCTTGTGTATTGGAGTGATGGCCAATTTGCATATTACTCTTTTATTAGATAGGCTAGAGGCCTGGTGCATGGGTGGGAGCCCTATGGTTTTCCCTGAAGGGTGTCCCAGATCAGGGTGGGGGTCCTTTGTGCATGGGGTAGCCTAAGCCAGGGATCTGTGGTGGTTTTCAGGCCAGCCACGCCCCCCAGTGACCTAAGCAGAAGCTCTGGTATATGGGATTTATTTATCTTCTATAATTGGAACTTGTATCCTTAAGCAAAGGCCTAGGCAAGCCAGGAAGCTTGGCTTCCTCCATCACTGGGGTAACCTATGCCTCCTGCTCTCTCCGGCACCATGGTGGCTGACATTTTGTTGGGATTTATTTATCTTGTATAATTGAATTTTTGTAGCCTTAAGGATACTGGGTTAGATTTCAGGCAACGCTCAATACCCAGTTTGGGGGGGGGGGGGCATGCAGGAAGCAGCCAATCAATGATTCTCTCTCATCAATAATATTTCTATTTCTCTCTCCATCTCCCTTCCTGTTCAAAATCAATAAAAATATATTTTATAAAAATAAAAAACAGCCCTACTGCCCCATCTTCTTCTTCTTTAATATATTTTATTGAGTTTTTACAAAAAGGAAGAAAGAGTGATAGAAAGCTAGAAACAACCATGAGAGAGAAACATCGATCAGCTGCCTCTTGCACACCCCCTACTGGTGATGTGCCTGCAACCAAGGTACATGCCCTTGACTGGAATCGAACCTGGGACCTTTTAGTCTGCAGGCAGACGCTTTATCCACTGAGCCAAACCGGTTTTGGCTGCCCCATCCTCTTAATACCCTAAAGGGAGAGAGGTATTGATATTCATGCATTGATTTATTGAACTAATATTAATTCCTATGTGCCAGCATGTTGAGGTGTTGAGCAAATTTCTGCCTTTATGAAGCTTGCATTCAGGTGAGTAAGTACAGGTAAAAGCAAACAGAATTTTTTGAAGAATGAGTGGTGGTTGGAACCATGGAGGAAAACAAATTAGGAGAAGGGGGGAATAAGGAATTGAGAAAGGAATTTGGTCTTCTATTCTGATCCACTTCATTCAAGGAATATCTTCTCCCTTTTTTTCTTTCACATGCCCTAGGTCTTTTGTGTTATGAAGGCTCTCACAGTCTGTAATGACTCATGCATTTGCTGGCTTACTTGTTTAGTATCCATCTCTCTCTCATAAAAAGGTCTTGAGTCAATTTATGACACAATATGCCATTTACATCAATGTCACAAGTTAGCAATAGTTACCAAATACAATAAACCCAATATATATTTTTTTCAATAAAGTAAGCCGTACAAATCACCTCAAAATACTTTCCATTCTTTGACTTTAAAGAAAATGTATAGCCCATAACAAATAAGCTTACATGTTACATTATTTTGTTCTATTTTGATCTAGTGAAATTTTGCATTGACATCTTCTTTTCCTAAATCAGATGTCAACCCTTGGAAACCAGGCACTATTCAACTTTTGTTTGCCTGACAAAGCCTGTCATTGTCATTTGAAATAAGAATAAGAGTAAGGCTTTCTGCACACACACACACACACACACACACACACACACACACACACAGGATTAGAAAAGGCAGAAGAAAAAAAGCTTACCTTCCGAAATACTTCCTCGAGGTGAAGGCGCCAAGAATACTGTTGGAAGCATCTGATTAGCTTTGTGATGAAGAGGGAACCTGTCCTAGGGTCTCTCCAGGACACGTTATCTAGGAAGATAAGGGGTGGTCAGCCTTGGGCTGTGCCCTTGAATTTTTTTTTTTATCACACATTTGTTTTATGCAATTTTTGTGTTTTTTTTAAACATAGTTTTGGAATCAACTTGGCAGGACTAGGGGAAACATATCTTTGCAGTAGCTAATTTTCCAAAAAGAGGAGAAAACAAAAAACTGGCAGGGGTTTAACTAAAAGAATAACTCACTAGGATATCACAATGATTACACTATCTTATTGGAACTGACTCTTACTATGTGCTTCATGTTTATTCGCTTGGATTTGAAGAGCAGCTTGAGAGATAACTGAAAGTATCCCGTTTTACAGAGGAAATAATAGACACTCAGCAGATTAAAGAATTTCCCCACACTTATACAGTAAGCAACAAAAAATGGCTCCCTGGCTTCCAGGTTGTTTACAGGGTATACAGCAGACTGTCTTTTACAACAGCATAAAAAAGTTAGGTGACCAAATCCAAAGGAAGCCTTGAGAGGGGCATATAATTATGGCATTGTTTGTGGTGATGGTTTCACTGGCTTATATTATATGCAAACTCGCTGTGTTATGTACATTGAGTATATACAGCAGTTTGTATGTCAATGAAACCTACATGAGCCCTACATGTTGCTGAGTTACAGCATGGTCTGCACACTGGAGAGTCTCGGGGTCCATTCCTGGTCTAGGGCACTTACCTGGGTTGCAGGTCTGATCCCTGCCCTCTAGTCAGGGGGCATGTGGGAGGCAACCAATTGATGTGCCTCAGTCACATAGATATTTCTCTCTCTCCCTTCGCTTCCCTCCCTTCCCAGTCCTTTCTGCTGTCTCCAAAATGAATGGAAAAAATATCCTAACTCCTTGGGTAAGGGAAAATAAAAACTACCCATGAAGTGGTTATAAAAAGAAAAGACTTAAAACAAAAATTTGCAAAGGAGAAAAACATTCAGATGTAAGGGGCTTCTTAAGACAACTACCTAGAGGTCAATGACTAAACACTGATCCCTATTATTAGGCCTGCTAGGGTATAATTTTATACGTCTTTTCAAGGATTTCCTCCTGCAGAGCCATCCAATGATTCACATAAATGAGAGCATCTAATGAGAACCAAGGAGAAAAGGAGCTGGTGTTGGTAATTAACAGAGGGCAGCCAGTCTCAGGATCCATTGAAACCCCACTCAAAATGTTAAACAGATTTGGTAGAAAATGGAATGTAATTTGTTTTTTAAATGATGTATGGGGATCAGATTCCCTGTATTGGGTTGTTTTAATATCTGGTATACCTTTGACTGTAAAGTGAACCACTTATAATAAAAGTACAGTTTTAAAAAGTGGAAAATACAGACCCTCTGTTTCCATAGAATAGATCAGATAAATGTAAATGGTTTTGAAAGCTCTCGCAATGGGTCTTATGTCCCTGCTGCAGGGATGCTATTGCATTATTCTAGACTCATTCCCAGGGGGCCATAGGCCCACAAACCCTTGTCTGTAACTGGAAGACCTACGTGGGGTTGAGGAGCAGAAAGCAATGAAGTCCTTCTCCACGTGAGCTTTGTGAACAGCATCGTCCTCCAGGCTCTCTGCTGACTGTGAAGAGCTGTCCGTCACGGCTGCTGGAGAGTCACTGACCCATGTTTCCCCGCGGTTTTCTGTAGAGACATTAACTTTGTGCAAACTGTGTGCCTCCCTCAGTATGGCTGTCACATGGTCTACCTCAATCTTTTAAAATGTTTATTCTCACCAATTTCACACACACACACACACACACACACACACACACTCACACACACTAAACCCTTGCTCCAAATACATACCATGGCCTCTCTCTAGTGTCTTTGCCCAATGTGCCAATTCATAGTGGCAGCATCTTTTAAGCAAATAGTAATAGTATCAGTCAACTGGAAAAACCCCTTTCCTAAGAAGAGCAAAAGACTTAAAATTGTATCTACATAATTTAAGAGCCTAGTTACCATTTTTTTTCTAGCTAGGTTATTTCTACTTTTCCTCCTAACACTGATCCAAAATGCTAAGAGGCCATTGGAAGTCAGCAAAAACAAAGGAAATGTTGACAGCAATGCCAAGTGCCCACATCTCCCTACTCACTTCCCTTTCAGTAACACCCAAGGGGAAAGGGTGCTGCTCCTATAGAACAGCCCCACTTTCCAAGTGAATTCTTCTCAAGCCAGAGAATGTCAACATGCCTGTAAGACATTGGCCAGTAAGGCTGTCATTAACATGACATTATTCCAAGTTTTAAATATTTGTGTTCAACTTTGATTTAGAGACTCTGAAGATCTCCTTCACCATTACCTTGGGTTAAATTGATTAGATATTTCTTAGGAGAAAAAACAATCACACATGATACCAACACCCTGTGGAGTTTCCCAAGAATTTGATTCACTTCATTTGCACTGAATGGGGTCTAGCATTGTTTTCCCCAAAAGCAAATCATGCATCACAAACCATTGCAAACCCCTCATGCCCTTTGGATTTTCCCTGTCAGAACTCACCACCTCTGCAGGCCTGGACAATGATGACCTTTGGCTTGTCCTTGAGACTGGGGCAGTTGCGATTGTTGAATATCCGAAAGATGGTGTCATAAGGCAGCACATCTGGGTGTTCTGCACTATGCCCAGTCCCACAGAGTCTATCCAGGAGGCCATGAGACATGAACACCAGGAATGTGCTATCTGAGGTACTGTGCTCTGAACGGGCAGCAAATGTCACCAGCACTGATTCCATCTCCTGAAAAAGGCCACGGAAACTTACTCTAAAAAGACCAGCATTACCACCAATCTGATCCCCCATTTGTCCTGAGAGTATAAGAATCTGCAATGTTCCAGTCACTGTGTTTCAGATAGTGGTGCTCAATGATAGTTTTGTTTGTCTTCCGACAGTGGAGCTGGGGGTTCAAGGACCTGCTCCTGCTAACATTATATGAGCTGCCCTCTTGATGTCATTTACATTTGTTTATTTTTACTTACATACTGTTCCTTTCTATCTCTGTCTTCTGTTAATTACTTAATAGGATGCATGCATCATAAATGTATCATACCATTTACCTTCAACAGCCATTGCTACTGTACTTAGAATAACATCAACCTTCTGACATATGTGTACTCCCTCCTGCCATCCTCTCAAAGCTCTCCTTACACTGGTCTTTTTGTATATTTCACATGCCAGTTCCATTTGTAGTTCAGACTTCTCATGGTAGTCATCCCCATTGGAATGTACTGCATTCACATGTTCCCAGACCTCTCTTGTTACTGGTAGTCATCTGTGAGGTCCCATACTGTCTCCTGACAAGGCTTTTCCTGACAGTTCCATCAAAGCAATCACTCCCCACTCACCAATGCACTTTTATGTTGTCTTTCCTTTTTCCACTTACTTTTAACTTTATTTTCACTCTTACAGAGAGACACAGGACACATCAAATCTCTGAAATTTTCTGTTTTTCTTTTTATATGATTGACCCCTGACCAGTAAAACTAAATCAATTTGAACTTGGAATATCTGGTCTCATTCACTGACCTACCCTCAGCACCAAAAATAGACCCTGGGACCAAGTTAGGACTCAATATTTACATAGTGAGTACATTCCTTTTGAACATTCATTACTGTAGAATTTCCTGGGAATATTGGGTCTGAATCCTAATCACCCCACTTTCGATATAAGAATTATGTGGGTATGAATGCCAGTCACTTTGTGTCTAGTTTTATGGAACTGAGGATATTTGGAGCTCAAAGGAGACAGAGAGTTCCCCTTTCTAATAATTTCATTTTATAAACACACAAAATCACATACATGGCACACAAAGAGGGATATGTGGCCTAAGATTGTTAAAGTATCTGGCTATCCTTATAAAGTTAATTTGTTAGCAGGAGGGTGTGTAGAATATGTGCTTGTTTGGGGTGGGTGAGGAGCCCCTACCTTGGCTGTGAGGTTCTCTTCCACAGTCACACTGTAGCCGAGGCCCACAAGCAACTCTTCCATCCCTGTGATGTCAAGTTCAGCTCCCTTCCTGGGCTGAAGATGATCAAACTCTCTGTTGCATATGATGAGAGCCAGGCGAGTACGGCTTGTTTTCTCCTTTATTGGATAGATCTGCATGAAATAGATATGCAGTGAGTTTGTTTTACTTATCTCTTTTAAACCTTCACATACTAATCTCTAGAGGCTCATAGATCTGCAGTGTCTCCTCGCTTGTACCAGAGACCCTGTTTTTTCTTTGTAATGGATTGAACTGACAAAAGAAAGAAGTGAGAATTGAAAGTGATTTTGCATTTCAGCATTGTATAAAAATAAAAATAGACCAAGAAATAAAAGAATGTAATTTATTTTCCAAGAGCCCAGAAGTGGACCTAGAACATATTTGGGATATTTATGCAAGAATCTTGAAGGGACTAGAACAATTCCAACCATAACTTTTTCTCTCTCTTCTCCACCTAGACAAATCATTCTCAGTGTTCAAGGTTCAGATCAAATTTCATAAAAAGCAGGAGACATTTTTCAATGACTCCAACTAAAAATAAATACATCATAGATGAAGTTCATTTGGTAAATTCATTATTTCAGTGTTATTTTTAACACATTAAGATAAAATAGATTTCAAGCTTTAATTGTATTTAAGTCATGTTTTGTGTCTAAACTTTTCAACTAGTTTGAAAATAATTATTAAATATTTTGATCTACAGCTATAGCTTAATTTGAAGAAGTGTCAAATAGATAGAACAAATAAATGGACAGAGAGATCTGTGTTTTATCATGGGATTGAAAGAAAATTGCAATCTGTGTGAGGCTATGTGAGTTCCTCCTTGCTCAAAGGAGCTATGATAAAGATTTTTGCTGTCCCCACCCTACCATTCTGCAATTAGTGCTTTAGGAAATCCTATACTTAGTGAAAGCAAGTGTTTCTCTCTCATTCTCTATTTTAGGGATAGAACACTGTACCTCTTTAGCCCTTTCTTTACACACTTTCAGGAAATCTTCAAGAGGACAAAGCTTGAGGGTATCTGTAGTTTCTGCTGACTCAGCTGGCCCAGTCATTTCTGGAGGACCTGCAGGATATATCACATGGCATCACCTGATGTAAATTTTAATATTTGCATCTGTTACCCATGATAACCTAAGACATATGACAGAGAAGGAAAATCATGAGAAAAATTTTAAACACCTTTGAATGTAGGAATTTTCCTTGTATGTAACCTCTAATATGAAAAGGTGTATTGTGATTGAGAAAGAAGGGGGATATTCTTAGTAGCAGATCCATCCATAAATATAATACTAAATTATGATTATAACGAGGAAAATATCTTCCATGGTGACTTGGGTCAAACTTAGCATTTTTATATTCAGCTAAAATAGCTTGAGACTTGAAATATTTTATTCTAGAGCACTCTCTCATCAAGGTGGATGGTTTCTTGTCACTGAGCAAGAGAATATTGAATAAATATTTAATAGAGGGCTATTCATTAGAAACATAATTAAGTCACATGTGCAATTAAATTTTTATACTATTTTGCATTAAAAAGGAAAAACAAACAGATGAAATTACTTTTAATAATATTTTATTTAACATAATATTTTCAAACTATTACCATTTTAACATGTATTAGCAGCCACAATTCCAGTACTCTATAATCACAATGTGGCTGGTAGTTATCATTTTGGACTAGAGGCCTGGTACACAAATTCCCGAACAGGTGGGGTCCGGCTGGACCACCCTGATCAAGGCCAATTGGTCTGGCCAGTTGAGGGGGGGGGACCATGGGCTCCACCCACTTGTGGAACTCTCAGTGGAACAGACAATTTGCATATTAGCCTTTTATTATATAGGATGGTATAACATCTCAAGTCTGCTCCTAATTTATACAGATCACAGACACAGACAGAGACCCATACTGAGCAACTAAAAGAATCCTGAATCCAATACCATCCGGGCATTCTTTTTTTCAGGGACCTCAGCCTGAATTCTCAACTTATCCAGAGCAGATGGACTGCTAAGATTCCTTGCAAAGCTGTGGAGTCAGCCATGTCAAGGAGAAATGCTAACTTGCCAGCAGAGTACTGATTCCAGGGTTAGAGGGACAACATTTTGCTCAGAGATTTTAACATGCACTAGCTGTCCTTGCCTCCAAAGTTCTGATCAACCAGACTAAATTTTGAACCCAACTTTTAAAATGTGAGGGAAGAGCTCCCTTTTGAAGTTTGTTTCTGACTCACCCTGACCCAATCCTTACAAAAACTTAAGTATATCTGTCACAGCTTGGCATCACTTGACACATTTTGTAAAAGACTGGGAAAGTCCGGCACCCCTCCTTTCTGAGGAAGGAGTAAGAATTCATAAACAATAGTGGAGAGGGTTGACAGATCTGATTAACAAGATTTTTGCACAGGAACAAACCTTGATGTTTATTTACATGAACCAATCAAGGCACTCCCTGATTTTTTTTTTTATTATTTAAAAGAAAAAAACAAAATTACCCTGTATGAACAGATTCCAGATAATTTGAGAAATTTGTTGTAATATCAGCTCTATTCTTACCTTCATTGCTGATGGCATTTTTGTTTGTGTTAAGAAAGGTTTGGACAAGGACTTGACCTGCTTCATGGCTTTTCTGTTGCACAGCCTTCGCCAAAACCCGGGCCTTGTCTCCATGTTTGGCATCATTGAATTTTTTCTTGTCAGTTTCCTTCAATTTCAGAATATCTTTTTTCACCAATACATCCAAAGCTCCATCTAAGAGTTCTTTCCCAATAGATTCCAAAGCCTTCAGTGGTTTTTTGTTGTGTTCTTCTGTCAGAAATACAAAGACTCCTTCAACTGTGGGCAAAACCTAAAGAGTGTTGCACTATATCTAGAGAGCTCCCAAAAATGTGAAATATTCTCTACTGACTATTTCAACATTTCCCCAATAAAATACAAACCTCTTTCATTATATACTAAGCGTTGTTTAATGAATCATTGCCACTTAAGATTTTTGGATAGCTTGTTATCGTCTTTCTTTGACATTGAGCTTAATGTCATCCACTCATCTTATATTTCTCTTTCTATTTTTTAATCAAATAGTAATGATGTATACTTCAAGAAATATCCATGCTCTTGTCCCATTATACCACAGAATCTATTCTCTCTGTAATTAGTTTTCTTGGTGAAAGCACTATGTTTTTGAATTCACAATTTGCATCCACATCTCTTAGTTACATCTTTGTGCTTTAATCTTAAAAGTCCTTATAGGCTTGCTGAAAACATGAAGTAATGAATAAGTGAATAAATGCATCTAGGTTCCTAATACTATAAAATTTTATCTCAATCAAAACTTAGAGTTGAAAATAATCTTATTACTAATCTTTCAATATGGTAGATTAATTTGAGAATTGGTTAATTTATTACCACCTGGGATGGTTGGAATTTTTATAGAAGAATATAAAAGTCAAAGTGATAAGTGATTTTTTAAGACTACAGCTATGACTTTGACATATATGGGAAGGCAGGATATCTCATCAATTAAAAATTAATTCTAAGATAATTATTCAGTCCAGCTAGATATAAGGATAGCCTGGACACAAAAATAACACTATCTAAAGAAAATGTGCCAGGTCATTGAACAAAAACTTGAGCCCAGAAACACTAGCCTCATTTTCCATGATATCTTGAATTATTTCAATAAATGTTTATTTATTAGCGATTATGAGAAAGACAGAAAACATAAATTAATTGTTACCTATATCAATAGCTTAATCTCAGCTAACATCTCTTGTCTACTTAAATTTATTTATTTACTTTTAAATATATTTTATTTTATTGGTTTTTTACAGAGAGGTAGTGAGAGGGATAGAGAGTTAGAAACATCAATGAGAGAGAAACATTGATCAGCTGCCTTCTCACACCCCCTACTGGGGATGTGCCCACAACCAAGGTACATGCCCTTGGCTGGAATTAAACCTGGGACCTTCCAGTCTGCAGTCCAACGTTCTATCCAGTGAGCCAAACTGGTTTCCAGCATACTTAAATTTATTGAAAAGGAAATACATATAAAGCAATATAAAGCATCTTTATTACTATTATTATTTTTATTATTATTATTATTTACATGTCTCTGTACTAAATACAAACATTAATATGCTATATCCTCTCAATAACCTAATGAGATAACCATTATTTTCTCTATTTAAAAATCATTTGCCCCAAATCACACAATTTGAGATTCACATTCTCTCTTTACAGCGTGGCTTCAGTAATAATAATTCATATTTATCAAGTCCCCACTGGTGCCAAATGTTATGCATGAATCTTCTCTCTTATACTCTACCAAAACTCCATCTAACCAGAATATCAATAATTCTATTATATAAAATAAGGAGATCCAGAGAAATTGGTTAAGTAATTGACACAAATTGTACGTTTATTGCACAGTGTGTATAGTAAGTGGAGAGAAGGGAATCAAACTCAGGGGTCAAAGTCCCCTCGTCACACATGTGCACCTGTACATACACACACACACACACACACATACACACACACTCTTAAATCAGCAAATTACCTTACATGATATTTGTGAAGAATTGCTTAAAATAATGCAAAGTATTTCAGGAATTCAAAGACTGGGTAAATTTCTTCAGGTGCAACGACAAAGGCTTCTTAGAAAAGGTAATGAAAACACAGAGGTGCAATATAGTATACAGATGGTAGAACAGAGAGTTTGAAGAATTGCAAACAGCAAACAGTTAGTGTATGGAAGATTTAGCCTACCTGAGTTCTGGGCTTCAATTCACTTATCTGTGCACTCAACAAGGTTGTATAGTGTTGACTGAATGATGGCATGGGGAGAAATGTGGTAAACAATACAACCAAGGAGTTTGGTTTTAGGTACACTTATCATCTCTACGTCCTCATGGCTTCATTAGAAATTACTCCCAAATTTATGGATTCAGGCCAGATCTGGATACTAAAATGGAGACTCACATATCTACCTCTTCTCAATATACCAAAAGTTATTAAACTCATCTTCAGAAAGTTGATCTTTATATACATAGATCAGTGAATGGTTCAACATGGACTGAGAGAGGACTTTCCAGGAGTTGTGATTAAATACTTCAGTCTCTATGATTTAAAAATCACTAAATTAAACCTATATATTTTGTTCTCTTTACTAGTAAATTATATCTAAACACCAATCCCATTGTTCCCTTTTCTAGTAAATTATATCTAAACACCAAGGGCATTATATGGTAATAGTGAATATCTCCTGTTTTCTGAGATGCTCATTTTCCGCCTCATGCTAAATTGTATTGATTTTTCTCTGCTAAGTTTTACAGAATCTGCCCACTTCTCTCATTTTTAATTGCACATTATTACATTTCAGGCCAACATCCTTCCTTTTCTTCATTACTTTAGGAGCCTTATAAATCTACTTTTGGATCCTTCTAATCTGTTCTCAACAATGAAGCAGAGTTAGGTTGCTAAAATTTAGATTTGATCATGAAACCTCTGAGCTTAATCTAATGTAGGTCTTCTCATTCATTCATCCTCACCCTCTGTCAGTTGCCCACCTTGCTTCTTACATTGCTTCTAGAAGGCTCTTACTTAGGAAGCTCTATGTGCACAGTCTCCCACCCATACATTCTTTCCTGTTTCCCTACTGCCCCCTTATTCTTTATATCTCAGATGAGATGTCGCTTCCTTCAGGAAATGATGCTCCCAAACTAAACAGAGTATCAGAGGTATATGCTTCAGATACCTGTTTCTCACTAAGCTAGCAATTTTTTTCTTTGTCCTTGTTAATTGTATAGTAGTGGCTAACCAAATTAGGTTGCTTATATAAAATTAGACCATTTATTTGTTTTTGTCTCTTGCCTTTCAGTTTCTCACATCTATTATCTAATGATGCCTGGATTTCAATGTAATAATCAGTGAGACCATCCTGCCCGGGCAAAAACGCAGCCCTGAGTGAGAGTTTCACTCACTGCTCTCCAGCCAAAGGCTTCATGAAGAAGACAAGAATACAATCAATTTTTTATTATAGGAACTTAAGATAAATGTCATGAGGTAAGTTATATATATATATATATATATATATATATATATATATATATATATATATATTAGTAGCCTTGCACATGATTCCATGGACCACTGGGTCACTGCCATCCTCCTGTAGTTTCCCCCACTCCCTTCTTCCCTCCTCCCTCACAGGTTACTGCCCTGCTCCCTCCTGTAGGTGTCCACTGCCCACTTGTAATTCCCTACCCCGCCTTCCTGCAGATCTGTGATCTGATCATTACAAGGTCAGTCATCATGCCTCAGGCTGTAACTGATATTTAGTATATTCCTCTCTCATTATATAGTAGAGAAGATACATACAGTAAATATAATATTTGCTGTGAAGTTGAATTCATATTTTCATATTTTAGAGAGAATAATGGAAAAATGGATAAACATATTTTGAAAGGCAGAAAAACCTTTCTGAAATGTTCAGACATTTTTAAAAAGGCAACAAGGAGCCTCAATGTAGTTTCTGAGTAAGGAAATTGCATGTAGAGATACCTAGAATGTTAAAACTGAAAGATAACTAATTACTTTTCCTATTGATTCTAATCTGCAAAACAAACACGTGTCAGACCAGCTATATAAGAATTATCAGCAAATTTTTAGAAAGCTAGAAATGCCTACTGTCTATTTAAGGTGGAGGAATTCAGGGGCAGGATAACATGAACTTTTAAACATGACTATAGATTATTCAGATTTGTTATAAAGTTTAGAAACTGATGACCTAGATGAACCCCTTCCTTTCAAATTAAAAGAATGAAAAAAAAAGTGCTTTGATGTGTTTGACTATTAGCTGCATACATAGCTAATCTCCTGCTTTTTCAGCTTCTGTGTATCAGCAACATGATGCATTGGAGAGGAAGATCAGATCCCTTAAAAAAACTGTGATAACTAGGAAAGACTGCATTGGAGTCCTTAGCACAAGGACTAGAGAGAAAAGGGAAAACAGTCACCTCAAAAGACCAAGAGATGGCAAAGGGGCAGGAGTTCAAAGTTGGCCTATGGGATCCGGGAGCAGTTTGTCACCCAGATAACTAATTGGGAAACAGCTAGAAGCCAGAAGATTTCAGAGGGCATTAAGTCTGTTCAGGAGTTGTCTCATACAAAAATAACTTACTCTGTTTGCCTTCTCCCTCCCCTTTATTACTATGAGCTGAAAGAAAGGAATTAACTTTTCCTGGGTCTAAAATACCTGGAAATCTTGATTTCCATCTTTCTAAGACAATGTCCCTGGATGATTCAAGTTACACAGAGCTAATAAAGGGAAGAATTCATCTTGCAAACCACAGGCTCCTGTTTCCCTTTTTGTTATTTCTGTTTGTCAGGAGCAATAGATAGCTTCCTAAGACCCAAGCCTCTGACCCTTAGCCAGAAAAGACCCCTACTCACCAGCCATGGGTGCCTCCAGCCTCAGCCCCTTCCTTCTGCTGGGAAGCAAGTCACAAGCTCGAAAATGAAACTTTCTGGCATTTCCTCATTGCAGGGGGTGGGGCAACTAATCAGACATTGGGCAACTGCAGCTTAGAACTTTGAGTTCACGGGACAGTTTGGGAAAATCCCTTGGGAAGAAATTTTTCTTTCCTTTGGGGAAAAGAAATGTAAATGATGTAACATTTTCCTATTGGCTGGCACCTCTGTTTCCCTCCCCCCTTTTCCTTCTTTCACTTTGCTTCCCCCACACTTCCTTCTCTCTGTCCTTTTTCTGACCCCTCAGTATTTCTCCTCTGCTCACCTAAAACTCATAAACTCATGAAGGAATTAAAACTAACAGATCTTCTTGTATTTCCAGATAAGAATTATGCAAAATAGCTTCTGTTTTCTGTTTCCACTGTGCTGGTATCATCCCCTCCCCGTCTCCCTGTGATTTTGAGATTTTGTGGATAAGGTCTGAAGGAATCTGTGTCTCCACTCTCTTCATGCCTTTCTGTAACTGCCTAAACCTGCCTACATGGTTAATCTTCATTGAGGGTGACTGCCATGGCCAGCCTGACAGGTTGAATCTGGCTGAGGTAGGGAGGTGGGAATTGAGAAAAGAAAGAAAGACAGGAGAGAGGGATCAGGAGGACTACAGGTAGCCATTGAAAGGTTGCTCTCCTTGTGTTGATAACCGCTATCCAAACAAGCCTGGGAAAACTGTGTGGGTAGAGGGCTAGCCTTGCTAGTCCCTTTGATTGCAAGGACCTTTCAGTTTATACACTGTCTCCAACAGGTGACTTCTCACTACCATTTTTTTTTATATTCTCTGAACAATGAGTCATCAGAGAAGCTGTCTCAGGCTGCAGTAGAAAAAATGTACAAAAGATTAGTTAGTGGGAGAAAAAAAAAATCTGACATTCAACTTGTAAGGTTTTCAAAAGTTAAGAAATTCACCTCAACTCCTAATGGATTAGGATTAGGAAGGGCTCAAATTGCATGTGAAAGGTAGTTGTCTCAGTGCTTCCCAAGTCTAACATTGTAGACTGGAGGATTTTACCTCAAACTCATTACCAATGCACCTCACAAGAATATTATTTTGTATACAATATATGGGGTATCATGTATGGTCAGCCAATTGTTTTGTGTTTGTTGGGTACTGTTCCCAATAGCACTATAAACTGTGAGTTGCCTGGAGTTGAGTCAAAATTACTTTGCAGGCCTAAAATACCTTAAGAAAGGATCAAAATATGGAGTTTCTGGCAGTGGTAAACTCTAGCATTTTGGATACATCACTTATTATACTCTGCATCCCTCCTGGTGAGCAGCAGATTCTTTGAAGTCAGGTAGCTACTGATTTTGGCATCTGTATCCCTATAATGAAAGCCCAGAGAATGGTTTCTAGAAAAAAAGAATGGTGCTATTAGGTTGTTCATTGATCATGGATCAAATATAAGGTCTCCAGATCCATTATAAGCTCCAAATCCCACACCATATCTTCTCAGAGTAGAAAAACAGGATAACAACTCTTTTTAAATTTCAGATTTATTAGAATGTTGAAAGAAATGTGTGTTTCCTGCAGACATAATTCCAAAAATGACAGGATCCTGGTTTCCTATAAGAAAACACACACACACACACAAACACACACACAGAGAAATATTTTTAAAAAATGTTCTGCTAAAAGAAATGCAAGTTAAAAGATCACTCTACTCATGGGGACAGAAGGAAGAGACCATGCTATGTCTAAATATTGCCCTATGTGTGAAAGGGAGAGACATCTAAAACCAAACTTTCATCATTTCATAGCCACATCTCAGTCTATATCAGCTGACCCTGAGAAAGGGACATCTGACTGCTGAACTTTGAGAGAAGAGCAGCATGCTCTGCAACAAACCAGCAGAAAGCATCCTTTAGTAGCTCCCATTTACTACGTGAGGCCTTGAGACCTTGATAAGAATGAAGTTGAGGCTTTCTTCCCCAACCTCACCCACCCTTCCCACCTGTGTGGGCCCATATTGGCACGCATGTGCCTGCACGGGCGCGCGCGCGCACACGCGCGCGCGCACACACACACACACACACACACACACACACATCTGTGCATTGACACTGATACAACTTACTTATATTAATATCCTGGGAAGAGGTAGAAACATCTTGTCAAAGTCACTCTTTCAGTAGTGGGCATCTGTGCCCTGCCATCCGGGGACTCAAATGAAAATCGAACCTAAAGGGAAAAGAGAACCTATATTTTTCTTTTCTTGACGAGAAGAATCTTCACTTAAGCTTGAAAAATTACAGAAAGTAGAGTGAAATTAATCACGAAAGCAAAAAAGATTGTGCATCTGTAAGAATCATAATAATATACATATCTAAGCATGGAATGACCAGACTGTTGAAATCTGTTGCTGGATCTGAAAGCTATGGACACGAGGAAATCAAAGTCCAGTTGTTTGTCTACTTAGGGTTTGATGGGAGTTAAAAATCAATTGTTATTTTCTGGGTGTTGATTTCTAGATCATAGCAAATAGGATCTGCCTTTCAGGCTTGCTGACTCAGCAAAGAAACTCAAAGCTAATTTGGAAAGAAGAACGTTTCTAAAAGATAAACTTGTCCAGAGTTGCTTCCTAGGTTTCCATCTGGAATAGTCAAGTATCCAGGGAAATAAGAGTATGGGAAACATCGAGAGCCTTACCTTTCGGAAAATTTCCTCCACGTCGCAAGACCAGGCATGTTCTTGCAAAATTTCGATAAGTTTAATAATAAAAAGAGAGCCCCGTTTGGGATGTCTCCACGAAACATTATCTGTGAATAAAGCACATTCCAAATCTCATTCAAAACTCTTGTCTGGCCCAAAAGATAGAATGCTAGGATTTTCACTCCCAACTGAGGAAGCCTGTTGAGTTCATGCTGTTTTCTATACACTGTTGGCCATCATGCAGTGATATATCCAATGTGTAATGAGTATATTATTACTGATACTTGACAATTGTTAATGCCATATATGCGGCAGATATTAAGTTGGTATCATCTTAGGGTTCACGAATCTATAATTCTAGTAAATATGGAAGTGAGGGCAGAATGAGGTAGATGGAAGTGATTGGGCCTTAGGGAAGAAATACCTGAGTGTGGATCACAAGATTATTTGTTTACGGACTCTAATTTAAGTTATTTATAAATTCTGAAATGCAATGGCTTTGACTATAAAGTGTAGGGAGGGTAAAATTTTCTGCCACAAAAATATATTGAAAGATTATAAGTGTCTAGGAAATATAGGATGTGTTATACTCAGTCCATATAGAATAATTATATTAATAACATTTCAAATATCGACCATGGAAATAATTAAAATCAAATACTATTGATCATAAAGTATTTGTACAAAGAAATGTTAACTGAATATGAGAATGCTACCAATATAAAAGAAGTCCAAACCTAAATAAGGTGTAAGAGAGAAATATCGTATTCTACTGGAGGACAAAACAGCCTTATGAAAGAGAAATTTTGAAGAATTATATTAATTATATGAATAATAGACACATAGAAATCATTGCGCCATTTTAAAATTTTACAAAACAATGTATAAGAGAAAAGTGATAAAGCTCTGTATACAGTCATGGACACAAGCTTGAACAAAACTTTTTAGCCAATAATATTGACAATAAAATATATAATAGTTATAGGTTAAAGTAATATTTAAAGCCACAGGTGTTTTATGGAGCTGGTTCCTATTAAACAAAGAGGATGGAAAGAGGATGGAGGCAGAAATCTCCACACGTTCTTTGTGAAATTAAGGGAGCAAATGGCCCTGTTTGTTCAGAAGAGAACTACAATGTGCTTGCAATTAGCTCCAGAGAAAGAGCTGCTAACTTTACTAGTGGCAAATAACTAACTGAAAATACCAGAATTAAAGTTTTTAAGTGTCAGCTGCAATGGAGGGGTGAGGAAAGTAAAAGAAAATGAGAAAGAACTCAGCAAGATGAATGTTGAGAAGCCAGGGGGGCGTCTACAAAAGACTACATAGCCAGAGGTAGATCTTTTTGGAATGCTGGGATTAAAGGGTTTTTAAGAAAAAATATGTAATAATACCAAAATCTGCTAAATCTGCTGTAAATGTATGAGACTTTTTGCCTCGCATCAATGTTTTTTATTTTTTTGGGATAATATCATAGATTTCTACATTAAGACATGGTCAACTGACACTCACAAAAAAATGTGAATTTCAAAAAATTTAAAAATATAGTATCCTACCTAATAAAAGAGTAATATGTAAATTAACTGTCACTATGCCACAGCCACCAGCCATACCCACCAGCCACACCCACCAGCCAATCAGAGTGAGTATGCAAATTAACCCCAACCAAGATGGCTGCTGCCACAGAGAGCAGTTGAGAGGCTTGGGTTTTCCTGGCAATAGAGGAAGCCAAGCTTTCCACACACCCTGGTCGGCCTAGGCCTCCCTCCACTCAAGGATACAAAATTTTAATTATAGAAGATAAATCCCAAGAAAAATGACAGCAGCCAGGGAGCTGGAGAAAACAGGCTAGGGTTGCCCCAGGCAATGGAGGAAGATAAGCCTTCCATCTGCCCTGGCTGGCCTAAGCCTCCACTCAAGGATACAAAGTTTCAATTATAGAAGATAAACAAATCCAAACAGAAACTGCTGCAGCCATGGAGCAAGCAGGAGGCTTGGCTCTGATCTAGGCTACAAAATTTCAATTGTAGAAGGTAAATAAATTCCAGATACCATGGCCTCTACTTGGGTTGCCAGTGTGCATGACCAGCCTGCAAACCACCATAGGCCCCTTTCTCAGGCCACTCCACACCCTAAGGGGACTCCCCACCCTGATACAGGATACCCTTCAGGACAAACCAGTTGGTCCCCACCCATGCACCAGGCCTCTATCCTATCTAATAAAAGAGTAATATGCATCACTCCAACACACAAGATGTCTGCCCCCATGTGGTTAAAGATCCTGCCCCTACGTGGACACAAGATGGCAGCCACAAGAAGGTCAGCTGGGGGGGGGGGTAGTTAAGAGGGACTAGGCCTGTAAGGGAGGGAAATTGAGAGGGACCAGGTCTGCAAGGAAAGGCAGTTGGAGGGCATCAACTCTGTAGGGGAGGGCAGTTAGGGGTCACCAGGCCAGCAGAGGAGGGAAGTTGGGGGCAAACAAGCTGGCAGGGAAGCAGTTAGACATCAATCAGGCTGGCATGGGAGTGGTTAGGGGATGATAAAGCTGGCAGGCAGAAACGATTAAGGGCGAGGAAGGCAGGCAGGCAATCAGTTGAGAGCCAGCATTCCTGTATTGTGAAAGGGATGTCCAACTGCCCATTTAGACCCAATCCAGGTGGGTTTCGGTATAAATGGGCAATTGAATATCCCTCAAGGGGTCCCAGATTGAAGAGGGTGCAGGCTGGGCTGAGGGACACTCCCCCCACCACCCCGTGCAGAAATATATATATATATATATATATATATATATATATATATATATATATATAGATATAGATAGATATAGATAGATATAGATAGATATAGATAGATATAGATAGATATAGATAGATATAGATATAGATATAGATATAGATATAGATATAGATATAGATAGATAGATAGATATAGATATAGATAGATAGATATAGATAGATAGATAGATATAGATATATATAGATATATATATATAGATATATATCAGTGAAGAATTCAAAGAAAGCCCAGAGAGGCTGAATAACTAGGACTACTTTACAAAATATTAAATGGATGTCAGGGTCAGAATATAATTGGCAGTATTCTTAACCTAGATTTAGAAATCATTATGTTGTTTTTTTTTCTTTTTCATCCACTCTATATTTCTAGTTGAAAACAATTTAACTTAGAGGTTCAATATGCCTCTTATGCTTTTTTATCTCTCCCTGCCCCTATATTTATAATACTTCTTTTCTGTAAATACATGCGGATGTCCAGGCAAATTGATCTGCTGATTGATCCCAACATTGTAAACCTTCCCTAAGTGGAATCAGCTTCTAATTTACTTCAGCATAGATATTTCTCAATTGATCCCAAGCAGTTCCAGGAAACTATTTTTGCACCATGGGAGTTTACTAATTACTAATTTAGTGAAAGTATATGCCATCTCTGTGGGTATGGATAATTGATGATTTAAACTAGGAAGACTGCTTGTTCTTCAGAAGTGTCATAGAAAGTTCAACAGATAATCATTCTCTACAGAGTGTGTGTGTGTGTGTGTGTGTGTGTGTGTGTGTGTGTGAATTTCTGTATTGGCAATGCCCAAAAAGGTGTCCTACACAGGCACCCATTACCTGGCGTTGACGAGCAGAAAGCAATAAAATCCTTCTCTATATGGGCTTTCTTAATGGCATCATCTTCAAAATCTTCTGGAGCCAATGAGAAGCTGTTTCCAGAATCTTTTGCTGAGTCTTTTAACCACACCACCCCTTCATTCTCTAGAAAGACAAGATTTTATATCTTGTTACTACCAAAAGCCAAAAGGTTTATTTTCTCCCGTAAGCCTCTGTTCAACCATATTTACTAATTCATTTGTGGCTATCTTGCATTCACATTTGTGTACACACATACGTCCCAGGAACTATCTTCTTAACACAACCTTTATTTCTACTAACCCTAAGTGAATTATATTGACACTGAAACATCCAAGTCTTGAGACTAAAAGGGATATTTCTTTAGTTGAAAGTAGAATAAATATCTACTAACCATTCATACAACTCACAGAAGCTATAGCTTTGTTTGGTGACAGTAGGTATTCTTTGATATTAAGGAGCAGGCACAACACATGTATAGAAATGATGAGGTCAACACTTGCATATCTTGTGTTCTAACACAATAGCACTCACCACCACGGCAGGCCTGGATAATGATCACTTTGGGTTTGTCCTTCAAACTTGGACAGTTATAAGTGTTCAAACTTTGAAAGATGGTGTTGATGTCTAATACATCTGAGACTTCCTCAGAGTGTTTCTTCCCACAAATGCCTTGTCGAATACCGTGAGACATAAACACTAGGAAAGTGCTGTCAGAGTTCTTGTGCTCCTGGCGGGCAGCGAAGGCCTTCAGCTCTGCAATCATGTCCTGGAAGAGACCATGCCATTACTTTTGGACTATGAGATCCATTACCATGGCACCTGGGAATTCAATAAAAAGACATTGAAGAACTTCCTGGATAATATAAACATCAATGGGGTACAAAAGATAATTTAAGTTTCAATTCAAACATAGATGACCTAGGGTTATAGAATGTCATTTGGGAATTTCTAGTTGAGAGGAAAGGGTATTTTTGTTTACAGAGCAATTCTCAAATAAAAGTTTCACTAGAATTTTTTCTAGTTAGGAGGGGTGAGAAGCACCTCCAAGGGCAAATTTAAATTCTAGGTTATCAAGAAGTTAAGTTTCTGGTGCTCCAACCAAAAGTTATTTAGGCAAATGAAAGGTGTGATCATTGTCCCTAAGTTCTGGAAGACCTTACCAAAGCAGTGAGGTCTTCTTTAACATCCACAGTGTATCCCAGACCTTCCAGCAGCATCTTCATACCTCTGATATCAGCATCAGCTCCAGCTCTTTTGGGAAGCTTATCAAACTCTGTGTTGCAGATAATGAGAGCAATACGTGTCCGAGTGGACTTTCCCATTACTGGGTAAATCTGTTGGAAATGCAAATTGCATAAATGGCCCTGTTCCCTTTAAATATTCATCTTGAGGATATATGACTATTTCCCCCCCCTCTAGTTTGATCCAGAAACCAAATTTCATAAACCACAGTTATAGGAAAGTCAAATGAATCTTACTAGAGGAGTTAAAATAGAGCTCACAAATTCCCAGATGACAACTGGTTAGGATTTAATTTTTTGTTGTTGTTGTTGAGTTAGGATTGAGAGAACATGTTTTGATGCTTATTGTTTTTGCCAAAATATTTTATCATCCAATGCACAATTTCCTAATCTATTACCATGGGCTATTATTAGGGTTCAAGGTATTATTCAAATATGTTTTCTCAACTCTGCAACTTGCTTAGAATAGTATCTGATTCATATTAAGCATCCCAGGGATGTTTTTGTTGTTATTTTAAGTATTTACTCAGGGAGAGGTATCAAACTTAGAACTCAATACATAAACCTGGGATTCTAGGAGAAAGGAATATTTTATGTAAGGGAAGCACCAGGATGATTTTCTAGAACTTCTCTAGGAAAGTGGCTCTAAGAAAGCCCCACTGCCCTTTCAAAGAGTCCAGTGCATCTTCCACCCGGTTCCTGTTTTCTGAGCACAGCACCTCCGCTGACTTTTCATTCCATATCCTTTGGACTATGTCTGGGGGGCAGAGCTTGAGGCTCCCTCCCGGTCCTGAAACCACCAGCTGAGCTGAGTTGTCTTTCACTGCCTGGGGAGCTGCAACAGACAAGAGGCATTATGAATAACAACATCCCTGGGTGTCCTGCCTGGTGCTCCTCACAGCAGGGGCTGCATGTGAAGCCACAGAGGAGGAAGTGAATCCTTAGAGGAAAAACCCTGGGATAGATGCCAACACCACTGAGTGAGTCACTGCTATGGGAACACATTCCACACCAGAGGAGGCTTCTAGGGGTGCAATACAAGAATCAGCCTTTATCTCTGAGGACCAGCATTTTTACAGAAACTTTAGATTAGACGAATAAAAAGGGAATTTATTCAAGGCCATGCATGATATAATAGCTCTCAAAAACAATATGTTAGATAAAATGTTTAGAATATGGATTTATTTCAAATGATTTAAAATGGATAATAAAATTTAATTGAGGCAGAGTTTAATCACTCTATTTCAATGTTTTTAAAATATATGTGTTTATTTTTTATTTACTTAAGATGCATTAGAGATAAAAAGGAGAAAGGAAGGGAGGGAGGAAGGAAAGAAATAAGGAAGGAAGGGAGAAAGGAAACAAGGAAGGAAAGAAGGAAGGAAGAGAGAGAGAAAGGAAGAAAAGGAAGGAAGGAAGGAAGGGAGAGAGGAAGGAAGGAAGGAAGGAAGGGAGGAAGAAAGAAAGGGAGGGAGGAAAGAGGGAAGGGAAGGAGAAAGGAAGGAAGGAAGGAAAAAAGGAAGGAAGGAAGGAAGGAAGGAAGGAAGGAAGGAAGGAAGGAAGGAAGGAAGGGAGGGCGGGCTTTTGTTCTGTCCTCCAGGATATCTCTAATGTGTGTATGTATGGGGAGGAGGAGGAGGAATACTGAATATATTAACTAGAATGACTATGAGATAGAATGATAAATGCTAAAATCAAAATGCATATTAGATAGATTCTAAACATTGATTACATCAATATATGAGGAAGAGTTTTAACAGTCATTTATGTGAATAAAGCCTTTACCATCCAGCAGTGTGATGTACTTGCTCAAGAAATAACATGTCTTTTTCAAAATAATTATGTTTTCTCAATATTTGGAAGATCTATCAAAAGCTAAATTATTCAAACAAGAGAGTTATATTCAATTTTGAAGGAAAATTTGAAGACATTATTGTGCATTTATTTAGGCAAAACAAGGCAGGCTGAAATTTGTTTACTGTGGGTAAATTAAAGTTAATTAGAATCAATTTATTAAAGAAAACTATAGAAATCATTACTTGGTGAAAGAAATATTCTATTTCTCCATACATTGTATCTGAAGGACAATGGCAAATATTAAAGAGGAATATTTGATTACAGTAGAGCTACTAATTTCTAGTAAAGAAATAGGCATTTGATTATATAGTGAGTATCTCCATTCCATGAAATATTTAAGAAAAATTCATGGATAACCACCCTTAATAGGTTCACTACAGCAATTTATAAATTTGTTGAACTATTTCCATTTGTGGCCTCTAACTATCTTCCAAAATTTAGAGAAAAGAATCACTTTCAGATGAAATACTTCAAGAACTGAGAGTAAAACACTGTCCCAGGAAAAATAAAACACTGATTATTTTATATAATAAAGAAGTAATATGCAAATTGACCATTACTCAAACACACAAGATGGCCACTTCCATGTGGTAAAAGATCGCTGTCCCCATGTGGACACAAGATGGCCACCATAAGATGGCCAGCATGGGAGAGCAGTAGTGGATGATCAGGCAAGCAGGGGAGGGCAGTTAGAAGGGACAAAGCATGCAAGGGATGACACTTGCAGGCAATCAGGCCTGTAGGGGAAGACAGTTAAGGATGACCAGGCCTTCAGGGGAGGACAGTTAAGGGGAGCCCAGGCACGTAGGGGAAGTTGTGGTGGGAACTAGGCCTGCAAGGGAGGGCAGCTGGGGGGAGACCAGTATGGTAGGGGAGGGCAGTTAGAGGCAATAGGGCCAGCAGGAGAGCAGTTAAATATTGATCAGGCTGGCAGGGAAGTGGTTAGGGGGTGATCAGGCTGGCAGGAAGAACTTGTTAGGCACAATCAGGCAGTCAGGCAGGCAGACAAGTGGTTGGGACCCAGAAGTCCTGGATTGTGAGAGGGTAGTCAGTCATCCTTTGAGGGGTCCCTGATTGGAGAGGGTGAAAGCTGGGCTGAGGGACAACCCCACCCCGCCCCCGCTTAGCACAAATTTTGTGCACCAGACCTCTAGTTTAGCAAATAAGAGGCTGGACTCATAAAGCTTAAAGCCTAGTGGGAAATAATAATGGATTTATTTTTTAAAATACAAGAAAAATATAATGAGATTATGGCAGAAGAATCAGAGGGAACTATGGGAATTGGAGCTCTGAACTAAAGTAACACAAAGAGAAGTGGCTAGACAGATCTGGATTTGAGAGAGGAATCAATAAACCTCAGATGTTGTTTGAATGGGGGAACTGATGGAGAAGAAAGAGCTAAAATTGAATTTCCGGTTTCCGGTTTGAATAACTTGTTAATGGAGGCACCATAACCAAGAGAGAGAATGAGAACCAAGGTGTGAAGGAAGGCAGACGGCAAGTTTAACTCTGGGTAAACAGAGGAAAGGGGGCGGTGAGAGATGCCAGCACCTATGTTCAGAAAGCTTTGGAATAATGAAATGTGGCGTTCAGGTGGGTATTCAGAATTTGAGACACATATTCAGAATTTGTTGCTATAATTATGGAAGTGAAACTGCAGGAATGCCCTCTGCTAAAGCAGAATGGATTGAAAATAGCAAAAGACATAGGATCAATCCAGGAGAACTGCCCATTGCCTCCTCACCCCATGTTTATCCCATGAATCTGTAGTTAATGTCAAGGAAGTTGGGTTCAAAAATGTTCTTGCTTTGAAAATGCCATTACCTGTGAAGGGAAGAAGCCTTGCTTGAGAGTCGTGTGCATTTTGATCATTGTCTGATTTCCCACCTGAGGAAAGATAAAGGCCATAAATGAGTCATGTATCTCTGTTGGAAACTCCCTGGTGAAAACAATGTCCACAAGCTTTGATCTGTTCATTCACACTGGTCATGGAGAAACAAAAGCCTGTCCACACATGTATTACTGGGCATTAATATTGGAGGCAGAAGAGAAGCGCGCCTGCACCTGCCGCTTGATTTCTGCTTTCTATGATGAGATTCCATCAGCTACAGAAGTAAGAGTGCTCTTAATATGAGTGTTTCAAGGTGGCTCCTGAGGTGCCCACTACTGCTTGGCAGGTACACGCAAAGTCAGGCTGTGTAACTCAGAGCTGACCTAGATTTTAGAGAAAACCAAGAAAAGGCTGGGACAAGTACACTGCCAAGTTCTGTCACAGCAGAAAATGATGACGAGGTGACTCATTTCTCTACCATCAATCAGGGTGAAGTTAATCTCAGTGCCACATAGCAGGAAATAGGTAGAGTTGGCGTATAAACACAAATCTGGGCTCTGGTATACTGAACCACTCTGCCAGCCCACAAAGGGCATTGTTGGTTCATGTATGTGACAGAGGCTCTGGCAGGAGGCTCTGTATTCTACACTTGCCTACTCAGTGGCACACCCCTAGGGACAAAAACACAAACAAACAAACACCAAAAAGCCTGTTGCACTGTGTGGGTGCATAAAACAACTCAAGCCTATCAAGGCATCCTCTGAGGTCACCATTCATTATGCTTGTCAATTTCAAGGACAGAAATTAAACTTACATGTTTTTTTTAAGTCTTTATAAGTATCTTAATATAACAATACACAGCTTAGAAGCTTAATCCAAAAACTTTTAAGAGTTGGTGTGAGCTAACATATATAAAATACCCCAAGTTTTCATCCCATAGTAACTATTGAAGACGATATTCCTTAGAAAACATGGTCCTTTTACCTGCTCTGAATGAGGGAGAGCCATAGGCTGTCCCTCAAAACGATCAGCCCAAGGGGATAGACTGTAGCTTATCCCACCCTTCCCATCCAGACTTCTGGACTGACTAACCATCAATAAGTTCAAAAACGTTTTCTGGAGAGGGCTTTGTGGTGGCAGGCGTATACATGTCAAGAACTTTTTTTTAGAAAGATCTACCTATTAGAGTCATTCAAATAAGTCATCTAATTATCACATCATATGGCTTGGAAAACAATTGCCAAGTAGATGAGAGAGACAAAGGTATGACAGTCTGCCTGAGGAGCCCTCAGCTGGCCAGCAGCTAGGAGACTCCACTTGTAAACTTCATTCTAATGGTTTGTTCAAATGCCTCTAGAACTCAAGGACTATGACCTGGAAGGAGTGGGGCAAGAAAAAAGAAATGTTGGCTACTATAAAATTACTCCCAATGCTTATTGGTAGTTATTGATCATCTTTATTTTGGGGGAGTGTTAAAAGGGGAAAAAAAAGGTATTCAAATGAAAACAGAGACTTATGCATGCTTATAAACATAACCAATGGAAACAGACAATGGAGGGTGAGAGTGAGGGTAGGATTGGGGCAGTTAAGGTAAGCAATGGGGAAATAACCACACATTTGTAATACCTTAATCAATAAAGAAAGAAAAAAAAAAAAGAAAATAAATAAATAAATAAATAAATAAATAAATAAATAAATAAATAAATAAAAAACAAGAAGTTACCCAGAGATGAACTTTGTATGTCAGTAAGCCAGGCATAGGCTTCCCTCAGTCCCTGAGAAAAAGATGTCTTGCTTTCAAAGAACCACTTTTCCCTCTGATTGAATTGGGAAGCATAAAAGAGATCGGTGGTTGAGAGTTGCCAGAGCTCCCATCTAGGCTGTGGGGGACTTAAGGACTTTGGAGAGAAGGGGCAGGTCAGATGCCTGTCTGTCTTGTATCACGGCCTCAGGAGGATGTGAGGTCAAGGTCGGGCCTTACACAATGGTCTGCAGCCTAGTTCCATGCTAGTGCACAACACATGCAAAAGAAAATGCAAGAGGACAATTAAGTGAAAGAGTCCACATTTAAAATCCTAGCTTTTCTGCCAGCATTAAATTTATTTTCTGAGTGCTTCACCATCATTGAAATATTTTATTCTTCCTAGAGAGCAAACTTTTGGAGAGAAATCAAAAAGATACTCCATGGCCGAAACCGGTTTGGCTCAGTGGTAGAGCGTTGGTCTGCGGACTAAAGGGTCCCAGGTTCGATTCCGGTCAAGGGCATGTACATTGGTCGCGGGCACACCCCCAGTAGGGGGTGTGCAAGAGGCAGCTCATCGATGTTTCTCTGTCATCGACGTTTCTAGCTCTCTATCTCTCTCCCTTCCTCTCTGTAAAATATCAATAAAATATATATTTTAAAAAAAGCTACTCCATGACAGACCTGAAGTCTTCATGTCAGATAACTATATAAGTATCTAGTGATTCCTAGATTTAAGTAACTAGCTGAACCCTTATTGTTAGTTATTGTCTTTAATTTGGGGGAGTGTTAAGTGGGGGAAAAAAGGTATTAAAAGAAAAACAAGAACTTACCCAGAGATGAACTTTGCTATGTTAGTAAGAGAGGCATAGACTGACTGACTAACTAACTATATAAATAATAAATTATAAATAAATAAGTAAGTAAATAAATAAATAAAGTGTCTTGCCAGGAGGACTAGATAATGTGGTATGAAATTTATCAGACTGTTCTCATATACTTCAACAACTGAGCTACCACATATTCAAGATGGGAGGTGAGTTTTAATTCAAAGGACTCTGAGACTAAAGGAATGGGAATAAAGGGTAAGGAGATGGGGCATATACAATACTGCCACTGACTTAGAAATGGGTCTGCAAACAAACATGACCAATGAAGACATCCTATGTGGTTCAAAGTCAGGGGGCCTCCGTGGACGTTAATCCCAGTTGTAGACCTTACCTGGGAGCCCCATCTTCTCTGCAAGGTGGGAGTCGTTTTTACAAATGAGAGTGATACACACTTGGCTTGCCCGGGGCCCTTTCCGATAGACTGAGTCAATCAAAGCTCGAGCCTTATCCATAGATGTGGCATTTTCATTCCTTATTTTCTCCATCTCCTCTTGGTTCAGCACTCTTTCTTCTAACAGGTCATCCAACAAGCCATTTATTATGCCCGAGGTCACGGATTGGATAAAAACAGTCCTCTTCTCCTTCAGGACTTTGTCTGTTTGAAACACAAGGATTTCTCAAGTCACTAAATAGCCTCTTTTTCTTCTCAAGTCAGCAACATGGACGAGCCTCCTTTAGACTTAGTCCATACAATGGCCCTCCCCATGCATTTCAGTCATCCTGAACTACCCTCATCTCTCACTCTTCCCTCTGTGTTACCCATGAGCTTACTGAGTGTCTGAAGTCTGAGATTTACTGTGGCTGACTCCTGTTTTTTCACCTATTTCCCTTGGGGACAGCAGCTGCTAGTACCCATCTCAGGGGCATCTTGCATCCTTTGTCAGAGAACTCAGTTAAGATTGCAAAATGACAGGAAATACCATTAAAGCTCAGTTCCTTTCCAGCCCTTGCCTGGCCTTTCTGAAAGCTGTGAGCATTTGGGGCCCCTTCTCTACTTCCCCTTCTCCTCTCCTCTTTCTTCCCTCTCCCTCAGTTCTGTTCACCTAAACTTTCACAGAACCTAATTATGGATTTCCCAAAAGCCAGCCCCTTTCAAAAAAATTTTCCCTAAGACATATCCTTTGATAAAGTAAAAAAAATAAAATAAACAAAATAGAACAATAACAACCACAACAAAACCCCAAACTCACCGGCCTCCATGGCTTTTCTCTCTCAGCCTTGGCGTGCAATTTGAAACCGAAAGCATGTTCCACCTTCCTTTTAAGCAGGGCGTATACATATTAGGAAATAACAACTGCTCAATCATATGCATGTCTTTATTTATTCTCCGAAGTAATAATCCTATTGCTTAACTTTAGAGAGCTTCAGGGTGTTTATCCTGGAAAAATTTCTTTCACCAGCACTGGATGAGGCTGGGCTAGGAAAAGAGTGGAGCCTAGAGAATAAGAAAGTAAAGAGAAAGTATGCATTCACTTGAACTCATTCAATAATGAATCTCTCATTCATGAGGAAGTGTGATCTGGAAAGTAACTTCTTCTTTGGTGTCTTAGTCCATGCACGGTACTGTAACAAAATGCCACAGACTGGTGACTTATCAACAAGAAGACTTTATTTCTCACAGTTCTGCATTTGGAAGCATAAGTCGAGGTGCCAGCATGTATAGATTGTGGCAAAGGCCCTTTTCTGGGTTGCAGACTGCTGACTTTTCACCTTGACCTCACATGGCAGAAAGAGTGAGATAGCTCTTTGGAATCTGTTTTAAAGGTGTGAATCCTATTCATGAGGCTTTTGCCCTTAAGATCAATTCAATTGCTAAGCATCTCAGCTTCCAATGCTGTCACTGTTGACCTTAGGTTTGCATTATCTGAGTATTGCAGGGACACATACATTCAATCTATAGCATTTGGAGAAGTAGAACCATTGTGATCCGGGTCCCCTTCCTGCAGATCTGCTATGTCCTCGGAGCTATGTGTTTCTGAGAAGCAGCTCTGCTCTTACGAGTGGAAACATTTTTCACCAGAATCAAAAATTTTCTTATCTACCACCTTTTCTTTTCAGATGATTCTGTTTTGTGGGATACAGTAGAGACTAATGGCTCAGACTCTGGACTCAGAATGCCTGATATCACTTTAACCATCCTTTCTTGGGCAAGGTATTGGATCTTTCCATGCTTTTGGTTCCTCTATTGGTAAAATAACTAATAATATATACCTACATGTCTTTGAACATTAACTGAATGAAACTGAAAATTGCATAGCACATCATCAGCACACAATGTTATTATTTGTTATTGATAATGCTTTTAATTTAAATAATTATAAATTAAATAGCCAATGTTAATTATTTGCAGGTTATCTAGTTAAATTTCTCTCTTGGGAGAATTCTCCTGCATCTCATTCATTCATTCACTTAACATATATATCTGCATGACCTACTCCATGTTAGACACTGCTCTAGTTTTCAGGGGTTCAGTCTATATACCCAATGGTCCTTCGCCTCATGGCTTCACATTCAAGGCGAGAAGACAAACATAAACCAATATGTAACTGGGAAAGTGTGAGATTGTGGTAAGAGCTAAGGAGAAGTTAATTATAAAAGCAATTGATGAAACATGGAAAATGTTAAAACTAAAGACAGAGGAGCACAGGAAGGCCTAAAGAAGTCACTGCTTTTTGTAAGCACATGTTTAATTGCTTGTCCCAAAATAAATCAACATAACAGATTTTTAAAAATAAATATGGTTGGCGGAAGATAGACTAATAATTGCCTATTAGTCTTTCAAAGTTATCAATTTATTTACTAAAAATACTGAGGGGAATATTACCTTAGTTTCTTAAGAGAATAATAACCCAGAGTTACTAAACATTCAGTGTGTGTGTGTGTGTGTGTGTGTGTGTGTGTGTGTGTGTGTATGTGTGAGTGTGAGCAAGCAAATGCAGGAAATATCTAAATTAAATATTATTAGCTGTAATGCTACTGTTTTACTATTAGAAGGAAACTTACATTTTAACACATGGACCACCAGTTTCTTTCTGTGATGTAGGCTACTTTGTTAAATTTATTTTTTCATTAAAATAAAACCACTGTGTGGATTTTAATCTAAGACTTTTCTCAGTGTGTTTTTATTTTTACTTTGCTACTTACCCAATCCAGTTTGCAGCACAATCTTGTGACCCTTAGCGCAGGTAGGCTTGTTATAGGGAAGAAAGCAGAAATTGCATATGTATATCGTATCCCATATACATTTATATTTATTCATTTATTTCTGAAATGCCTTAAGGATTTCACATGAGGGTTTCTCTACAAGCCAGGGCCATACACAAATAAGTTGAAACATGTTGAGGTAGCATTTCAGCCACAGGAAGGATGGCCAGGCAGTGTGCCTGGGATGGAGAACCATAAGTATTGATCCTGGGAAGATAAGTAGAGAGTCACTACATAGCAAGGGGCCACTGTGTCCTCATAAACAAAGATGCTAAAGAAGGAAACATTCCAAATATCTATTTTAGGTGCATGAATGACTAAACAAATTGTGCTAACTCCATACACTTGGATACCACTTGGCAACTAAATAAAGGAGCAAATTACTGATACATGAAACAGTCTTGATGAAAATACTATGCTTGTATTATGAGTGAAATAAACCATATACAATAGAATAATACCTCATGATTCCAATTATATACAATTCTAGAATGCAAAAATCTAATGTGTTTACATACAAACCAAGTCACTGGTTTCCTGAGGAGGAGGAGGTGTGGAAAAAATGAGTGCAAAGGGTATAAAGAAACATTTTGGTGTGGTGTAATTGGTCTGCACCTTGTTATTCTATATCGGACCTTTATAAAGAATAATCAGATGCAGTCCTTAAAAGGAGTACATTTTATATTATGCAAATTATACCACATAATGTTAATTGAAAAAAACCCTGAAATCAATGTTTGTAATAATACACTGATTGGAAAGTATTATCTGTCTTGTTTATGAATATACACTATCCTCAACAAATCAGTTGAAACTTAGTGATTAAAATGGAATTTCCTACAGTTAGATGGACAGAATCGAAATACATTTTAGAAATGATAAACATGTGAACTCAGCTATGCATGTAGAAAAGTGTTATACAGACTGTTGCATAGATAAAATCTTCAAAAAATAAATTAATGGAACAATCCAAGTATAAGTCATTTTTGAAAGAAAGGTTACTTATTTAAAAATCCTCATGTCAGGTGAAACCATCATGGTGGCATAGGTAAACACCTAAACTGCTGCCTCACACAACAATTTTAAAACTACAGCTGAAACCAGTTTGGCTCAGTGGATAGAGCATCGGTCTGTGGACTGAAAGGTCCCAGCTTCAATTCTGGTCGGGGCACGTACCTTGGTTGTGGGCCCATCCCCAGTGGGGGTGTGTGCAAGAGGCAGCTGATCGATGATTCTCTCTCATCGGTGTTTCTGGCTCTCTATCTCTCTCTCTTCCTCTCTGTAAAAAATCATAAAAAATATATTTAAAAAATATTTTAAAACTACAACTAAAAGATAAAAGCGACATTATTGAGAACCACAGGAAGACTGGCTGAGTGGAAATTCTACAACTAGAAGGAAAGAGAAAAGTACACTGAGACTCAGAGAAGCTGCAAGAGGCAGAGGTACTGAGACTTTTGCATGGAGAAGACTGGCAACTGAGTGTGCAGCTGGTTTTCTCAAGCAGGAGGGAGATGAAAGCTCCTGACTGTGGTGAACTCCAGTTCAGGGCGAGACTCTGGGGACCCAAAGTCATAGGAGTGAACTGTCAGGAAAGAGAAAAGCACACTGAGACTCAGAGGAACTGCAGAAGGCAGAGGTAACAAGGTGCTTGCGGAGAGAACGAGCAACTGAATATGCTGCTGGCTTTCTTATGTGGAAGGGAGACAAAAGCTCCCAATTTCACTGAACTCCAGTTCCGGATGAAACTCTGAGACCCAGACTCATTTGGGGAAAAACTGGACATTCTGGCAGAGGGTGGAATTCGAGGGCGGCTTTCTTTCAGAGGTGCTTGCAGCGATTACCCTGGGACATTGAGACACAGAAGCCTATTAAGGCAGGGTTGACAGGAAACCAATGCTGACAATTCTGCCCTGAGACTCTTTCTCATCCGAGCTGAGCACAGAGGCTTTTGCAAGTTTTTGCAAGACACCTCATAAAGGTGTCTCTAGCACAGAAGTTCTCCCAGCATAGACACAGCTGATCCTCACAGCCAATTGGCCTGGAGGTCAATTACTTCCAGTAATACCAACAACAATCAAGGCTTAGCTACAACAGACTGTTCACACAGCCCACAAAGGGTTGCACCAAGAGTGTCCACCTCAGCTAACTGGGGAGGTTGAGCTACTGGGCTGAATAGGACACCTAGCACATCCTTTGCCTTACCTCCCACTGTTCTCATCCATAGGTGTACAATTTTTGTCCAGTCTCTTCCCACTCCCACCCCCTTTCCCCCTGAGAATTGTCAGTCCACTCCCTTTCTGTGTACCATGTCACAGTGCTTCCTATCTATTCAAGTCATGAGCCATAATTCAGAAGCTAGGAATGTCAAAATATGCTTTGTAAAGTGCTCATCAATTGTTCATATGCTTTATTTCATAGCCTGTCATGACAACTGTGCAAGTTAAACTGGTTAAATAAATGCTGATTCCATTTATGAATAAGAAGACCAGATTTAAAAAAAAATGGTTCAGAATCTTGGAAATCAAAAATTGAAGAACGAGGGTGAGAAATGTGCTCCCCTCTTTGTTTGGTATAGTCATGTGCCACATAACTGAGCCAAATCCGTTAGGGCTGGCTTTTTTTTCCCCCCTGAAGATTTCTCCTGTTCTGTCACATAGGTCCTATTCCTTTTTCTTCTCACTTGGCTGCTTTCTTGTGTTCGTTTCTATGTATTAGCTAGAGCTCTGATTAACCCTGTCTTATTAAAATGGCTTTATGTAAAAGTGTTCTTTAGGCACCAGTGACACAATCTCCTTTCACACTTAGACTCAACATTCCAGATGCACCATACATGGGCTTTGTACACTGTTCAGTTGTAGTTGAGCCTTGACTGTTTTTGTTATATTATTGGGGGGACTGAACCCCAGGCTGATTGGCTGTGAGAACTGACTGTGAATACAGAGGAGGGGCTACTGTGCCAACTCCATAGAGCATATTTCAGTCAGCTTTTTGTG